ACCGGAGAAAGGTCTGCATGAAATGACAGTGTCACAAACTTAATATTATCTCGCAGCGACTTATGTGAAAAGTTAAAACGCATGGTGTCCCAATGGTGTACGTAAGTTCTTCTCGAGCTACCGAGAGCTATGTGATTTTTCAAAAATTCAAAGAACTTTGTGAATGTACAAGCGATAGTAGGGAGGAACGAAATTTTTGTGCAAATTAGTACTAGTTTGGTACTGAGGTGCTTTTATAAAAAGTAGGTATAAAAAAAGCCAAGCTCAAAAAGGTGTTTGGTAAACATTTAAAAACAACTTATTTTCACAGTTTTGGGTGAAAAAAACTAAAAACTTGAAGTAGCAAAAATGAGCTTATTCTCACACCACAGCAGAAACAGTTTTTTTTCAAAACACAGCAATATCAAACCAGCCTTTAGTTTCATCATCTTATCCATTGTCTTTGAGTCAAATTTTTTGCTAGTACGATGATGTGGTGTGCAAATGGATGGCTCCAACTAGATTAATCATAAAAAACCACTCGCTATATAACATCCAAACATTGTCACTTAAAATTGTTTGCACATATAATTAAATAACGAATTACTCTTTGTAATATAAGGACAAAGGAGAAAAAAACAAAAGAAAACTAATGAAAATGGCTTGAAAACTTTGAGTTTTAATCAAAATGACAAAAAAATGTTGCAAATGAATAGTATCAGAAGTAACTTTTTAGAATATAAATGTCTTTTTCGTTAAAGGTGAACACTACTAGAAGTGTTTCGTTAAAACTTAAAAAAAAAACAACGTAATTTATCGGTAATTTGAGAGAGGGAATAGGTTTTTTTTTGTTTTTTTTTTAAATAAACGATAGTATCTACATTAAAGAGGTGAAAGAATGAGTTAAGTTTTACAATAGGGGTTTGTATAATAATACAGTTTAGCTTCGTATTTGAAGAGAATTGAACATAAAATTCTTTAGTTACAAATGAAAATGAATACTATTAGACAGTTCTACTAATTGCCTCGGGTAGTTAAATAGTAGAAAGTAGCAATACCGGCCAACTGCCAGGGTCCGCGTTTGCGCAGCCAATGAGAAGCGACGCAGTGTCACCCAACCAATAGAAAGCCTCCACGTAGACAAAGCCACGTAGCGTTGGCGCTCCCGCCTATATCAACGGTCTCTTCGCCTTTCCTGAATTGTGGGAGTTATGTACCCAAAATTATTCTGCTAATATTCTTCTCGCTTCCTCTTAAACCTTCTCATCGGAAACCCTAATTATCTTGCTTCATTTGAAAAAAAGAGGGGAAGAGAGAGGAGGCCGGATCCGGAGGTATTTCCGGCCACATTTACTTATTGGGGGCTGAAATGGAAACGCACGGATCGGGGCTCCGGCGCGTGTTGGTGTTCGGATTCTGCGTCGTCGGAATTTGGTCTGCTTATATCTACCAAGGCGTGCTTCAGGAAACTCTGTAAGTCTTATTTTCTCTTTCTATCTGCATCTGGGGATTTCCCAGATCACGAACCTTTGTTTTGGAGATTTTCAGCTCCTGAAATTGTTTTCCGAATTGATCGATGAAGTTAATCAAAATTGTTGATGTTCTGATCTTTGTTTTTAGGTCCACGAAGCGATTCGGGCCAGATGGGAATAGGTTCGAACACCTTGCGTTCCTCAACTTAGCCCAAAATGTGGTTTGTCTAATCTGGTCATACATAAGTAAGTTTCAATCTCCCTGAAAAATCTTGAATTTCTTGTATCGTGGATTGATTGGAGCTGAAAAAACGAATTGGGTGATAATATTGTCATGTGGGTTTCTTTGAATAGTGTTAAAGCTTTGCTCTAGCGGTAATGCTGGAGGTGCGCCTATGTGGACGTACTGGAGTGCCGGGATTACTAACACGATTGGACCCGCTATGGGGATCGAAGCGTTGAAGTATATCAGTTACCCGGCTCAGGTTTGCTTTCCAATTTTGAACCAGTAGCCCAAATGGGCAGCATTAGAGAATATATAGTAAATGGTCAGCATTAGAGAATATAGTAATGGTTATAGGAAGAATTGATGGTTGTGTGTCCTAGGTCTAGTTTACTTGATTTGAGTTTCTTAGGATCTAATTAGCGAGGAAGCAAATGATTGTCATATATGTTATAGAGATGTTCATTTCCTCTGGATAAAATCATTGGCAGAAAATGGTTTAGGGCCGACCCCGTTATTTTGGATAAATGACTAGTTGAGTTGAGTTAATCAGGGTGTTGAATTGGTTGTTGAAGGGATGAGGAGAATGGAGTTTTGTGAAAAGTTTCGTTCTTGTGGTTTTTAAGTAATGCCAAATAAAAGGATCTATAGTTTTGGATATTTAAGCTGTTCTGTTTACTTGCAGGTCTTGGCAAAGTCCTCAAAAATGATTCCAGGTCAGATATTTTCAAGTTCATTACTCTTCTATATCTTACTAAAGCAAGCATGTTACTCATTATTAAGTTCAATTAAGATTGTGGAATATCATACTGATTAGATCAACCTTTAAATTTTGTACATAAATAAGTAATAAATGGTTATTATTTGTATGCAGTGATGCTGATGGGTACTCTAGTCTACGGCAAAAGATACAGCTTTCCTGAATATGTTTGTACTCTCCTTGTTGCCGGAGGGGTATCCGTATTTGCACTCTTGAAGGTGAGGGATGGCGTGTGTGCTTGTGTGTATTTCTTGAGAATGGAACGAGAATTAAATAATTTTTATGTTTTCTCTTTCAATTTTCCTTCTATAAACTGTCCTCAATGAATTTCATGCAATTTATGCAATTTTTGTTGTTATTCTTATGTTTTTCTCATTCGGTCAATTTCAGACTAGCTCAAAGACGATTAGCAAGTTGGCACACCCAAATGCTCCCCTTGGGTATGGACTATGTTTCCTCAATCTTGCTTTTGATGGATTCACAAATGCTACCCAGGATTCAATAAAAGCAAGGTATACTTCAGAACAACATCATCTTTGTCCTACCATTTAACTAGTTGTTGCCTTTCTGTTTTTCACTGACTGGATTCTTGGCGTTATTTAAACTGTTTATCAACATTTGCAACCCCCTGCTTTCGAGAATGCTTGAGGGAGTTTTTATGCCGATCCTCTATATATTGTTTATAGAAATAGATGTGTGAAATTGTTATGTTGAGCCATCTGTACGTGATTGATATAGAGAATTCAGTCTCAAATGTTGTAGCTTTTGTGTTTGCCCAGGTATCCAAAGACGAGCGCTTGGGAAATAATGCTAGGCATGAATTTATGGGGTACCATATACAACATGATCTACATGTTTGGCTGGCCACGTGGCAGCGGATTTGAGGCGGTTCAGTTCTGCAAGCAGCATCCGGAAGCAGCTTGGGACATTTTTCTCTATTGTCTCTGTGGTGCAGCTGGGCAGAACTTCATTTTCCTAACCATAAGTCGTTTCGGTTCCTTAGCTAACACCACCATTACCACAACCCGCAAGTTTGTAAGCATCGTGGTGTCTTCGTTGCTGAGTGGCAATCCCCTGTCAACTAAGCAATGGGGGTCTGTCGTCATGGTGTTTTCTGGGTTGTCGTATCACATCTACCACAAGTGGAGGAAATCGCAGAGAGTGCCGAAGAAGAGAAAGCCAATGTAATAACAATTTTGATCTTACATATTCAAAACCCTTCTTTCCAAAATTTTACATCTCTTGTTCTTTCCCTCCGTAGTCGTATCAAGCTATTTGTAATGTAATTGAACAGACCCTCTAATCTCTATAGCTATAGAGAGTGTATTCTGAACTTTTTGTAATGGAAGTCGCACGGTAGTCGTAGCCACACCTTATATTTGTAATGTTTTGGTGGCAATCAAAGCGTTGAATTATCGTAATGGAATGGATGTCGAGTACATCTTGAACTACCCTGGAGAAAACACAACTTCAGAGATGTTGACTGACGAACAAACTATTGGGTGTCGTGGGAAGTGATCAAGGTAATGGAGTCGAAGATGACGGTTCTACTATGGAGCCCGTTTCGCAAAAAAAAAGCTCTCAAAGCGGTGATGACATTGAATAATTCGAGATGAAAAATCCACACCAGACTTTCTTATCATGTTAAGAAAAGTTAGAGATGAGATCAAAGGTGACATCAATTTCAAGAAGAAACAAACAATGATTGAGTCATATTTCAAGAAGGCCTCATAGTCGAAACACAAGCCCTATGTGTCAGAAAATTATTAATTTATATATTACGGAAGACCTATATGAATTTTCTATAATGTATTGTCTTATGAATTTAGCAAATTATTAATTTAGCACGTTATTCCCAAATCAGGACTGGCCAAAAAGATCATTTAACTAAGGTTATTAATTTTATTACTAATTTATCCTTGAGATCAAACAATTTTATGTTGGGGTTGAGAGGTCAAAAGTGCCAATTTGTGCTCATATACCTTCACTCGAGAAAGTTTACAGCAAATTATTGCAAGTGCACTTTATTTTGTAGAGATTTCCCTCCCTCTTTTACCACTTTGCTTTTCCTTTCTTCCTAATCATACTTGTCCACCACCACCACCAAACACAGTTTTTGGTCTCGCTACCCTTCTTCCCCACTTCAAAACACTATCAAGACAGAAGAACTGAAGACTGGGAGCTTCCTTGACGCCTGCCATAACCCTCTGGTAAGTAAAACCAATGGCTTCCTACTTCCTGGCTCAAATTTTGCCTACTTTTACGCCCATTTTCTTTTCGGATTTCTTGTTCCGTTCCTTATTTTGAATGAAACTCATGCATCCTGCATCTGTGTGCGAGTCGGTTTCTTAGTTTTCTGATGCTGAATGTTCTAACATCACTTCACACTTGCTAGATGTGTTCATCTTTGACACAAGCGATAGTGGGGGAGGGGAGATTCAAACTCGGCACCTCAGATACAAAGGTAAATATCTTGACCAACCGAGCTACGAGCCTCTTGATTAGAGATGTGTTCATCAGTTCATGTCTTGATTCTAGGAAGAAAGAGTAGAACAAAAGAGAGAAGTGCACACCAAAACCAAAACCATTTTCACTCCAATTACATTAAGTTTTGTTACATCAGAAATCATGGGGGGAAATCAAACCAAAGAAGGAAAAAATATCAACTTATTATGTACCCGTTTTCCACGCCGGAAAAACGATAAACAGGAATCCACTTGAACTGGTTAATCCTCTCTCATTTTTTTTCTTGTTTCCTCTTCTCTTTCTCTCTGTTTTGTTTTGATCATGTACGCTAGCAGAAAATATAGGCAAGCTGCCTATGTATACTTACAGTAGTCTTACACTCTTGAATGACTAGGGATATAGCAGGTTCTGTACAACTGTAAAAATCAAGGCCAAAAAATGGAACACTCGGAAAACATATCGGATGACAATAGACAAACTAAAGAATGACACACCAAACACACAAAAAGCGAGTACCGATTAGGAACTCTGAAGGAGGTAACTCTGCTGAGGTCAAAATAATGCAGAAAACTATGTTAGATACGTTTGCAAATGCTAAAATGCACCATTGCATTCTAGATCTGGGTTTTGGGAAGCAGATCTTTACCTGCCCATTTGTAAAATTTTAGGCTGGTATGGCTGCAATCCTAAGAAAAGAGGAATCCAAAACGGACACGAACTCAATAGGCCATGTAAAATTTCTATATATGAGGTGGTGGATCAAAAAGGTTGGCTATAGACTTTGGAGGAGGGATCGTTTGCAGGGTGGCGGTTGTGAAGGATTGGTGCTTGGGATGGGGCAGGGGGAGTCCTCTCCAAGCGTTTTGAGCAAGAAATTCCTCTCCTGAAAAATTCCAACACATAAGTGGTCATTGGTCAGTCTTAATACATACAATTTCATGCATTCGTACCATAAGAAGTTAGGAACTTGTTCTACATATACTAACCGTCACCTAGATTCTATGAGGCAAATGAGAAGCTACAGAGATTTCCAAATTCAGGTTTGCGGGTAGAAATTTGGAACAAGGCTGAACATCGCTGAGCATGGTTACCAAACTAATGTACTCGGATTTCAATAGTTTGTGGTGCATATTGTTTAATAGAGTTGAACTTCTGAGACAACTTACACTTTCAGAAAATTTTGGGCTAGGAATTCCTGCTGCCAAGGATCTGAACAATGGGGTAACTTTAATAGGAGAAGTGAACTCTGTATTTGACGACACAGAAACAACTGCGTAATCTTTTGTTGCTTCATCACATGATGGAAATATCTCTGCAGAAAGAAAGATTAGATAGGTTATCGGCAAATCTTACTGAGTCGGAAATGTGATCAGCCAACATATCTTATATGTTAATCCATTACCTTGCTTTTCGGAAACAATCCCTTTCTCACAATCACCAACATCATTTTGCCCTTCAATAGGAATTGAGTGTGACCCTAGTCGAATCTCCTGATTCGGTGAACCTATTTCAACTTCATTTTGTTCCACTTGATAGCATTCTGTTTGGGACAGAAGAGTTGACCCTGTACTGTATTCGGAACTTCCTGGAGAGTCGTTGTATAGATCTGGCTGCCTGCAATGTATATGTCACCAATTAGATGGTGTACAGTGGTTTAAATATGCTCATATAAGAATAGTAGTCTAAGTCACATTTCTTACTGCCAAGATGGTCCGCTTCCCACAGTGGTACTCCTTAAGTCCTCTAACAGATATTTAAGATCTTCGAGTTGAAAATCAAAATCGTCAATTCCATAACTGAGGATGTCACTGTCTTTGCTTTGATTCAAGAAATCTTGGAGCACCTGAATATCACATTTGATGTATGTTAGAGGATATGCAGACTCAATTTGGCACCAGACTTGAATCTGTTTTACTCTCTGAATTAAATATGGAGGAATCAAGTACTAAAGGCATCTGAATATCACATTCGCAATATATGTGAGTTATATGTATATTTATATGTTCCTACGATTTTTAAAAACCAAGCAATTAAATGTTAATTGCTCAGTCCACAGGACCACAGCAAATGGATAATTATTTCTCACCATCCAAGCATTTTCAAGACTCTGGTCTGTGTTCTCTGAGTGAACTTTTAATGCCAGCGAGCTGAGCAACTCCGCTTGTTGCATCAAAGCAATTATCTTCGGGTCATCCTTCTTGAGAAATGATCCTTGAAACTTGCTATTTTGTACTGCTGATAAATGAAAGTAAGAGTGACCTTAGAGTTTTGTAGTTGAGAACATATAAACCAATGCATAATGAATTTTCAAATGATAAATAGGCCAACTTTCTGCTGACGCAATACAAACAATATGCTTATGTTCTCACACATTTCCTGCAATGTTCTTTTCAGGCATTGTAAAGAAATCTGATGAGTTGCCGAACAAGTTTCAATTTGAGGTGATTTACCATTCCCGGCGAATTCCTTGGTGCTATGCCCGTTATGCTGGTCTTGCAGATTCTCTACATTGTGAGCATTCTGAATCAACACAGTAAACGGAGGTCTTAGCTGCTGATTTATCTTTCCACACTGCTCAAGTAGCCTGTCCCCAGACGTGCAATTTTTGGGGAGACTAGGGATGTGGCTTCTCCTGCGTTGCACAAAGAATGAGTTCTACTACATTGAGCAGTAACCAAATCAACATTTTTGTACATAAAGATGTAATTTTACCTCATCTTCTTAGGAGGTGCTGTTGTTTCTGTTGTTCCATCCGTATTGAATCCATTTCGTATAATGACCCTTTTGTCATTTTGATTAATGTACGATTTTGCATTTTCTTTAGCTAAGGCCTCATATTTTGCTCTCTTCTTGCACAAAGTTGAAAACCGGTTTTTCACGGCATTGTCAGTTCTGCATAAGTAGGACAACTTATGATCTTAATTGCGTCATTAGATCGAGCTAAGGTATTTCAGGAGGAGAAAAAAGAAAGCTAATATACCTTCCTGAAACCACCTTTGCTATTTCTGTCCATCTGTTCCCGAATATCTTCTGAGCCTGCAGATCCGATCACCTTGAGAAATTAGGTTTCTACCACATCCAATGACGAGGGTAATAGTGTTTAATGCTGAATAAACAGTGGTGGTTTTTTCTGTTCAACTTTAGGAAGACATGCAGTGCAATCACCAGGCCTGGCCTACTTGGTCATATTACAGAAAATGATTAAATCCTCTCAACAATCAAGTTTTGATGATTTATTTTTCTCCTTAAACCATTTAAGGATGCTTAAAGTGAAGAATTTCATACTTTTTGATGAGGCAATATTCTAAATTACTCTAATCTACAGCGCACAATGATATTCTAAGCTACTGTCGTCAAGTACCTCGCACAAGAGCATGTCTTCCTCTGGTGACCATCCTCCCTTCTTGAAGTCAGAATTCAAGTATGTGTACCATCTGCAACATTATTTGTCAAATTTCAGAAAAAAATAAAAAATAGCAGTCAAAACAATTAGACCTCAATAATTGAGTAGGTAATGAAAAAACAGAGGATTTCTCAGCAGAACTCAACTCAAACATCAACATTGGGTTTGAAATTACCTTCTCCTGCACTGTCTGGTTGTTTTATCCTTGAATTTAGATGCAATGACAGCCCAACTGTACACAAATTGATCACAAAAACATAGCATTCATTGAATAAATGTAAAGAAAAATTGTAAAACCAACCCAGGTGAGAAAAACAAGAAACTTACTTTTCTGTTCCATGGAGGCTGATTTGATTCCTCAGTATGTCATCCTCCTGCAACTCAAAAGAACAACCAGAACCCATGTCAGAAATAAACCAAAGAAACATGATTGGGTGTCTTGATCAAAACCCAGAACTCAAAACAATACAATGAGAGAGAGAGAGAGATGAAAAGACCACCTCTTGAGACCAAGTAACGATATGGCGCTCCTTCTTCTTTGACTCCTCCTGCGGCATTTGGGTTTTAAATTTCACCTCTCTCTCCCTCACTCTTATCTCACAGTTGCTCACTCCTCAGTCTCTCTCTCTCTCTCTCTCTTACGCTCCCAGATGATCCCTTTATCCAAACCAAGTTGCATAATACTACTAAAGCCAGAGTCTTTTTCAGCTATATAATAAAATAGCCAAACCCCAATAGAAAGCCACACCTCAAAAGCTATCCAATCTCCTTCCTGTATTGGATTTAATCGCCTCGGATTCTAACTTTTCAGCCGCACTCCCTTTGGAGTTTGGAGTTTATATCACAAATATATGCTCAAACAGTGCATATACTTGTAAAAACAGATTAGATTGGATCCGGGGTACTCGTATTTGTACCGATTTCAAACAACTTACAGAGATTTTGGGATGAAAATACGATCAGGGGTCGTGAGAGTTTTGGGGTGGGACTGGACAGAACAGTGAGAGGGTGGACTGGAGAGAGGAGGAGATGGGAGAGCTTTTTTCAAAGTTTCTCTGTATCTTTACAACTAATCAACTTACAAGGACTGCAAGTCTGGAAAAATCGTATATTGTAATGAATAAAAAATAAATAAAAACCAACGGATTGTTTGGTTGCTTTAGTTTATAGTGCGCGGGTATGAGCGCAAGTTTGAAAAAATAACGCTGAATTCCATGAGATAACATTAATGCATCAGTATGCTGGTGAAGACTAAGCCCAAAGGGCCACACACCACCACACTATTTTTTTTATTTTATTCATCATATCATTATGTATTTGTATATAGGAATTACATACAAATTTGGCCCTCTATACTTTTGATGTTGTCTACTTTGATCCCTATTTTCAATCCCAAATTAGTCCTGGAACTTTTGTAAGTGTGTCTAACAGAGGCAAACAATGACTTTGGATATAAATTTTTACTTTCATTTTAATTAAGTCACTGACATCCAGGCTCCTGATTTACATTAGAGAGGCGAGCTCATTACCTTCACTTTTTGCAATTTGACACCATTCAATGTTGTAGACCCAGTTTAGATCCATAACCTATGATAGCCTCGCGTAATATTGAATGTTACACACGCTTCACCTTCTTGTGTGGATTTTCACTATTTCATTTCTTATGAATGTAAGATGGTTGGTAGGATAAGATAGGAAAAACTTTGAAAATAGAAAAAAAATAGGTTGAAGGGGCTTTAATCTGTGTTATTTGGCCAGACATTCTTTCACAACATTGAAAATGTGTACACACATTTCCTCTTATGTTCATTTTTTTCAAAACATTCAGAGCGTTTTTATTTGTTTTCAAAATTTTGAATACATTTTCTTTTATAAAGGGGACATGACCATCTTCGTGACCTAACCTTCCCATTTAGTCACACACTATTCACTCTCACTCAAAAGGGCAGCCTCAAATTTCTATTTCAATTCAATGCTTCCTCTTTTCGTTTTATTATTTTCATCACATAAATCTTGCTATTTCTTTTCCCACCACCTTCAATTTTACTGTGATTTCAATTGGCCTTTCTTCATTTCCACGCGTTTGTTAGACTCGTGTCCACAACCTTCTGTTTCCATTGGTTCCAAACTTCCAACCCCCACATGCATGTGTACCGATGGGAACGTATCCCAGCTCTCAAACTTCAGTTTTAACGTTGGCCTCAAATGATTTTTCAGTGTGTCAGAAACATGATTCGGTATACCAAATGTCAAATACAATTGGTTGAATACTTGAACAAAAATTCAACCACTTATATTATAATACTTGATATAACAAATCATGTTTTCAGCACACTAACAAATTTCTCAATGGCTTGGCATGTAGCTTCCTTTGGTTTCTCTTTTACTCCACGTTTAATATTAAACGCGAGTTCGTTTTAAAATTTTGAAAATCAAAAGTTGAATTATTTTTTATATCCTCGTAGGAATTGTCTAGAAGTATGCACGCATGCTTCATGAATCATGTTAATTAAGGGTGTTTTTTAATCAGATATCAGAGGATTTTGATTGCATCAATAGATTTCCCCTAATTTGTTCTTATAAAAAAGGTTTACATAATTACTCTTGAACCAAGTATTTATATGTTAAAAAAGATACGGTTTAATGTGATGGAGTATCCTAATAATATTACATAATATATTCATTATGTTGTACATATACATTGTTGCATTGTGTGTTGCTACAAATACATTTTGTATGACATGTCGTGCTATACAGAACAAAGTACAATATGCAAGCGCTATTTTAGCCATTAGACGTGACAAACTCACCATTTCTTTCTCCTTAGGCTCCATTTGGTACACGGGAAGAAATTGATGGGAAATCAATCCCTATGTAATTTTCTAGGGGATGGGAAATCTGAAGATTATTTCTTGTTTGGTAATCATGGGAAAGTAGCTAGGAAGTATAATTTTATTTATTTTTCCATGTTTAATTTAATTGGCACAATAATAATAATAATAATAATTATCTTTCCCAATGTACCCCTACTTAACAGTGTCATTATTATTTATTAAAGTGGGCAAATTTGTCATAAGAAGGTGTAATTAAACAGAAATTACTGCTTTTCTTGGTCTCCTATGGGAAGGAAAAATGAACCAAGATGAATGGAGGGTTTCGCTTGCCCCCCTATTTTCCCATGAGCTTGGAAGCTTTTCTCAAGACTGGACATGCCAAACATGGGAAAATAAATGATTTCCCATTCCCAAGTCCACTTTCCTGCAAACCAAACGCCTCTTTATGATATATATGGGTAATACTAGGAGATTAAATGTGTACACTAAATTTGTAAACTAAATGGGGTGTCGCCAACAAGAATTAAGCAAGTTGATCAACATTTAATTAATAATCTAATCATCAACTTCCATATCATTTAGTTTAAAAAATTTAATCTCCCTAACTTACCCTGTATATATTAATATTTGTCGTTGAATGTGCAAATGATGCAACTCCAATTTAACTCAATAGTGTTGTCAATTATCAATGCAATTAACAAACAGTTAAATTAAATTTAGAGTTCATACAGCTAGCCCTAAGAACTAGTTTACACCATAATTTGCATATGCAAATTAATTAGAAATTGGGCACCCTCTCATGCAATATATATATATATATATATATATATATATGTGTGTGTGTGTGTGTGTACATACAAAGTCAAAAAAAAAAACCAGGAACGGGTCTTCATCAAAGCCAAAGGGCAGCAGCCACCAAGTTGCTGTTAATTTGGACCCTTTTCTATATGTACTCCATGAATTAGGACAAACACTTTCAAATTGATGAGTAAAATAGGAGAGAAATCAGAAAAATTTAACCTCACATTTCTCTCTGTGAAGTGACAGAAACCTAACTATATTCATACTAGATCTAATTTTAGATTTAAGCTTTTGTTATTTTAGACTGAAAATCCATGTGGGCCTCAAATTAAGTAGCCGACTGATTGCTGGTGATCATATTAAATCACACATTAAACTAATAGTTACACATTTCCATATTACGCTTTCATTACTTTGACAGCATCTTACTTTAAATTATAGCAAAATGATAAGATCACTGTACTGCTGGCGTATAGGAGTTTCTGAACTTCTAACACAAGTAGTTAAGATATTATTATGAAATTTTGTGTTCGACTCGACTGCTCTAACCCTAATCACATTGGTATAAGATTTTGTTGTAAACCAAACATTGATCAAATATATTTTGAATGAGAGATACTAAGAAGACTCTCTTAAAAGTGAGATTTTTTTATGAATTTTCTGTCATCTCATGTTTTTAGCATAATGTATTATAATATTGACATAAAAATTAATGATAAATTATGAAGTAACTGAGAGTTCATAGAAAACCTCACTTTGAAAGTAAAATTAGCATCTCTATTCTGATTTTACATTGTTTTTGCAAAAGTATAAACACCCATCTATTCCTTTGTCTAAGGAAAGGAAAACATTTCTCCATATTATACAGACTAAACTTTTACTTATTCCTTTAACCCAACGGACCTTTTCTACTTGCTAGCCTTTGCCAGGTGGGCAACTCCGTGATCCACCACGTGGACCAGTAAAAGATAAATGCCTAATCCTTTCGGACTTTTGAAATCTTCAATTAGTGGAGCCCTACAAACGGCAAAAAACCAGAAATGGGCATCTCAATGGTCTCTTTCTTGACAACGAAGTCTCCCGCCAAAAACATGCTATTGATTCAAGGAAGAATGCCCATGGAATGCCCATGCTACTTATTCTGCATACTGTTTGAGAATAATGGTGCAATCAGAGTCAAAGAAGGGGATGTGAGACATGTATCATATTTATATGCATAAACGGATACATGTATATGTTATGAATATATTTAAACATAAAGAAATGTTTTTGTACGCCATTTTTCTCACTTTAACAAATAAAAAAGAATCATTTGAAAGAATTAAAAGCGAGTGTACGGAAATCACTCCGTTAGACATAAACTTTTTGGAAAGGAAATCTAAAAATGTTCTTGTAAGATGGAGATAGTGGGAGAATGTACTTTTAGCTGGGTAGAGACCCTAGAGGGTCGGTAATATTTGTCCCACAGCCACCCATAAAATTGATGGGCAAAGACCCAGAAAAAAAAAAAAAAGACCGACCTTGTGGACCCCTATGTAAAAACTAATTTGCAGTATTGCTACATGAATATATTAGACACCCTTTAAAAGTTTTAAAGATTTTAGAACAAATACGTACGTACATATATGTAACGTACAATCCCAGGACAATGCATGAAACCCTAATATTCAAAAAGAAAAGTCCCCTCCCTCTTCGATCATCTTCCACCCACCGTGCCTTCATTTTGTCATTTTTCAGCTTTGATTGAAACATGAAAGTCAAACCGTTCTTTTTTTTTCTTGGCCTGCCTGCCTCGACTTAGATATGCGTGGCTCGTATATAATCACTTTATTATCTTTTGACGCTTAGCTAGGTTAGTGTTATGCTGGTATGATCGTCACCTTTGACAAATTTCACGCGGTTTTATCAGAATTTAGGTCCATTTGGTCCCATCTTCATGGGATGCATGTAAAAAAAAGTATAGCATGCATGTATGCCTTCTTATGTTTTTGGTCGTCAATTACCTTATTAATATTATACGTTTAATTTCCACGCTATGGCAAATCTGAAACCAGTAGGGCATGCTTTGGCGCATCATATATATATTACGATTTCAACGTTGCACAAGACAATAGGTGGTCTCGTCCCTCTCAATTCAATGCCCTGCGGGTAACCTAGAAAACTTTGGATGAAAAAAATGAATTTGACAAAGTCTAGGCATTTCCCTTTCCCCACATTCATAATCTAACAAATAAAATAGTTTATTGATAGATATGAATTTTGAGGATCAAAAGTCATAATTGCAATAACATTCTTTCAAAAAACATATCTCTCCTTTGTTATTTAAATTTAAATTAAACAGTTCTACCTTCTTCATCATTAAACAATGCACTCATTTGTATAATAAAAAATGCTCATATTATATTATTCATTTCTTTTATGAATAAGGTTAATAGT